ACAAGTACTAAACTTCCCGAGTTAGGGACAATGCTTAATGCCTATCAGGAAAATTAGTTAGATAACTCATAAAAGTTATTTTATTACTAACAACAAAGCCGAGTATGAAGCATATGCTACAGGGCTTAAATTAACTTAGGGACTCAGAGCAAAAATATTTATTTAACGATTGAACAAATCCAAGAAAACTATGAAACCCAAGAAAATCGAGCCAGATGTACTAGTCTCGGATCTACTGCTGATATCACTGACCGAAAGCAACACCGGGCACTTATTGAGAAATATCATTTCCGGATCAAACAATCTCGGGATTGATCCATCTCTTATTTAGGCGACCCCTGATCTATCATCAATTAGAATGAAAATGAGGTAAGCCTGACTAATTTAATTTGAATTGGCATAATAAATTCATTTATTACTTGCAGAATGAGACTTTACCCAAAGACGAGCATATTCTCGATAACTCTGAGTGCGTCTCATCCCGTACTGCCTGCCTTGTTGAAGGAGAATTATATTTGAGAATATTTAAGGCTCCAAACGCTAAAATGCCACATGGGCCAAACAAACAAAATATATGATGCGAAAAATTTATAAAGAAAGCAGTGAAAATTATTCCGGTAATAAGGCTTTACATCAAAACTCATCAAAGTCAGTATGAATAGCTCAAATCAAGATATGGCATGATCCTCGACAACATTTTGGAACCTTCGTAGTTCCCGACCAGAGTACAAAATATTTGATAAAAAGAGCTTCAGTACCATCCCTATGTTGGAATTGGACCATTTAAAAGTCCATCAATATCGAAACTAACTATCCTACTGGGGACTATTAAACTGCGGATTGTCAAATTATGATTTCATTGTTTGAGTTCTCATACCTCAAAACTCAAACGCTAGGAAGATTACTTATACTTGAAGATTAGTCAATTTGATCTGACATTATAAGAAGTGATACAAACAATTGATTGCCTTGTAGAATTCCTAATAGTATTCCGATATAATTACCAGCTCAACTCAGTTAGTTGTATTGCTCATATCAAGCATAAATACTTCAAATAGTGTCGAATAAGTTCTTCAAAAATACGTATACTACACGCACACAAAAAGGATCGAGAACTCCATGTCAGAGTCAAGAATCCCACGATAAAAAACGAGAATTTTACATCTAAGTCAAGATAAAGGTATGCAAATATGCCACCAGAATAAAGTTCACTTTGAACAAACACACAACTTATATTCGGTCCAACAACGACCATCCAAGTTAAATATATAAGCCTTTCTTAATGGCTAATTGTATTATGACTCGGATCGATTATCACGTAAATCTCAAATATTATTTCGGACATGTGTCCCTCTCTACTTGGAAGTATGTTCATATACTCCAATTTAGATTCAAAATCCAATCATATTAAATGTCTCTTCAGGACAAATCTACTAAGATATATATATTTATTTGGGATCAATACTCCCTCAAACTCAATGTCTTACCGGGATCAATACTCCCGTAAATTTTAATGGGGTCAATACTCTTGTAAAATCCTACTGGGATTAATAATCCCTCAGACTAAAAGTCTACTCGGATCAGTCGACCCTATTTTACGCCCGAATGAAAAGGAGACGTCCTATTCATAGCGTTTAAAGTATATAAAAGAGCCCTCTTTTATTTAAAAGTTAGACACCTAAAAGTGCAACTTTAGATATCGCACAAGTAACGATGCATCCAAATATATATTTTAAGTCTAAAAGACTAAGTATGAGCACTCAAATAATATTCTAAAGTGACAAGAAAAACTTGTACTCGGATAAATTCTCTAAAAAAACAAATGATGATATTAGACCCGAAAGATACGAGGAACACTGTATTATTCTCGGTCTAGGTTACAACCCTTTTGATAAAAAAAAAGGGGGTTAAACAGTCATCATCTAAAATATATACCTCCGAGTCCCATATGTTTTTCCTTTTCAGGAAATGGACCACATGGAAGGAACAATCAAATGCTCGAGATTTCATACTTCAAAAGCTCTAACACTTGGGGTACTATATATATGGAAGGCAAAGAAGACTAGAAAAATCAAAATTCAAGTCAAGCCTAAGGTCTACCCAACAAATCGAAAGTTAAGAGCAAAGTCACGAGCCAAAAACACAAACCTGACTCGACCTTTGAAAACATATTCATAAATATAAACGAATGTTTCAAAAAAGGTTAAAGACAGAATATTAGTTACGGGTAAAAATGCACAATTTTGTACTTACTCAAAAACTGTTGTAACTGAAAACAGTTACAGATGAAAAAGCATTACCCTTGTATTCATTTGAAAACTGTTATCAATAAAAATAGTTATGGGTAAAAATTCATGCACCCTTGTATTCATTTGAAAACTGTTATCAATAAAAATAGTTATGGGTAAAAATTCATACCCTTATATTTAAAACTGTTGTAAACAAAAATAGCTATTCCCTTGTACTAATTTAAAAAAAAATTGTTGCAAAAGAAAAACAGTTACGAGTGCAAGCTTATATCGAATCTGTTAAAAGAAAAAACAGTTACAAAATGAGTTATAGACTATACACAAACACATGTAAAATGTTATGAAAGTTCAATGTAGAAACTTTCTTCAAAACATTGTTAAAGAAAAAGATGTGAAAATTCCTATCTCTCTTTTGTATATTTACACCATTATGAAGTTGAGACGTCTTCTTCATTAAGTGTCGTTCATAAAAGGGCCCTCTTTTATAATTCGTGCTTATTCAAAAAAGTCACGGAGCATTAATGTATTTTTAATGCAAAGTTGAAGAGTAAAACAAAAACCCAAATATTAAAATAGGCAGAAAATAAAGCCGAAATATATATATCAAACTTTGCAAACATAAGGCAAAGATTTGTCTTCAAACCCCGAAACAAGACATGGGTAAACCAGCCGATTATTGACGAAAGGAACATAAGCAGTGGAGTTATCATCTAAATCTCTAAGTTCTGCACTCTTTTTTCCTTCGTCAGGTTTTTGTCCCTATTGGATTTTTCTGGCAAGGTTTTTAATGAGGCAGAGGCAAGGATGAAAAGGATAAAATATTCCACTTCCCGGTCACATCATAGTAAGTAACCGGAAAGTAGGGGGACTATCTGTATTGGTGAAAATTAGACTCGCCATGTGGGTCTATTAAATGGCGACATGTGTCAGCAAAGTTTGAAGAAAAGTGAAGAATGACATGTAAAGATGATATGTGAAACACCCCCGGGACCGAACATACTCGTACCGTGCCTGTTAGCCTCGGAACTGATCATCATGAAATAGCCGGATCAGGTGCGGGAGAGTATCTCATGAGGAAGGAATCAATTAATCCCAGATTTTATGGGATTTATCATCATTGCACAATCTGTTACAAATCAATTATGTAACGTACAATAAATGCAACAAATGATTGTAACGGTCAGAACAAGGCAATCAATTCAAGATTGACTCAACAGGCACGAGATTGACTCAACAGGCACGGGATTGACTCAACAGGCACGGGATTGACTCAACAGGCACGATATTGACTCATCAGTTACGAAATTAACTCATCAGTTATGGAATTAATTCATCAATTACGGAATTAATTTACCAGTTACAGAATTCCAACATTTACACAGCTGTTACATGTCTTCCAAAAGTAATGGATGGATTGAGTAAATGCTCATAATGGACCCATAATTCAAGGAGAATGGTTACTTAGATTTAGCCCTATAAATAGACATACTTTTACAACCATCAAGGAAATCTAATTTTCTTCTCTACAATTCTATACATTGTAATTTATAGCATATTGCTCTCAAGTTAGCCATAGTTCGACCCTCCAAGCTCAGTCCGGCTCATTATCCTATCAAGGATCATTCAATAAGAATTCTTTCTTCTCTGCTTTATTTTTATTATATTATCTGTTATTGAATTTATTTCTCACTTCTCTATCACGTTGTATTAACGAAATTTTATATCTTTCGGATTGAATCGGTTGCTTGTGGCCCGTCATATAAAATTATTGCTTTGACCTTGAAAACTATTACATCGACGACATGCTAGTAAAATCGACAAAGAAAGAGGATCACATTGGCCATCTGAAGGAGACCTTCGAGATATTGAGGCAATATTGGATGAAGCTGAATCCCAAAAAATGCGCTTTCGGCGTAACTTCAGGAAAGTTCCTTGGGTTTCTAGTATCACAAAGGGGTATCGAGGTCAACTCGGACAAGATCAGAGCCATCGAAGGAATACCGGAGGTACTGGCCAGCAAAAAGCAGGTGCAAAAATTGACAGGGCAAATAGCCGCCCTGTCGAGGTTCATTTCACGATCATCAGATAGATGCCACAAATTCTTCAATGTGCTAAGGAAAGACCACGGATTGCAATGGAATGCAGAATGCGTCGATGCCCTGAGAAAATTAAAAGCGTATCTATCTTCGCCACCCCTACTCGTCAACGCAAACCCAGGTGAATGTCTATTTGTGTATCTAGCCGGTCTCCGAAGTCGCTGTAAGAGCCGTCTTGGTCCGCTAAAATGAAGGTACGCAATCTCCGATTTACTATATCAACAAAACCTTAATCGATGTCGAAACGAGGTACCCTCACCTTGAAAAACTAGCTTTGGCATTAGTCGTAGCTTCACGAAAGCTTAGACCATATTTTCAATGTCACCCCATATAAGTGGCAACCTTCCCCCTAAGGGGTATCCTACACAAACCCGAGTTATCAGGTAGATTAGCCAAATGGGCCATAGAACTAAGCGAGCACGATATAGCATACCAACCGCGAACTGCCATTAAGTCGCAGGTGCTCGCCGATTTCGTCATTGATTTCAGCGCGGAAGTTTTGCCTGAAGTAGGGCAGGAAGTGCGCGCTTCAACACATACCAACCTCTGGGTCCTCTACACCGACGGTGCTTCTAATGCCTCGGGATCGAGACTAGGACTCGTCCTCGAAGTCCCTACGGACGAAGTAATTCGCTAGTCCATACTATGCCCCGAGATGACTAACAACGAGGCCGAGTATGAAGTTGTGATTTCAGGATTGAAATTAGCCCTTAAATACGGCACCCGGCAACTAGTCCTCCATTGCGACTCTCAACTCATGGTGAACCAAGTCACCGGGACTTTCCAAATCAAAGAACAGCGACTACAAAAGTACCAGTTAGAAATTCACAAACTGCTGCCAAAATTCGATGAACGCCGCCTCGACCAAATAGCTAGGGCGCAGAATATCAAAGCGGACGGCCTTGCCAAGCTAGCGGCAGCCACCGAAAATATCAACAAGGAAAACGTGGTCACCCTTCTCCATTACGCAATAGACCACGTCGAGGTACATTCTATAAGCCTGACTTGGGACTGGCGCAACCATCTCGTAGCATATTTGCAGGACGGAACTCTCCCGCAAGATAAGAAAAAAGCCAAAAAGCTTCGGATACAGGCAGCCAGATACAGCCTTGTAAACGGTGATATCTACAAAAGAACGTTCAGCGGCCCCCTGGCCAAGTGCCTTGGGCCAAACCAAACAAGACGAGTACTGGAAGAAGTACACGAAGGGCACTGCGGCGCCTACACGAGAAACCGCGCCCTCATCCGCTGCCTCATCCGTGCCGGATACTACTGGCCCACCATGAAAAAAGAAGCCGCGGACTACGTCGGGAAATGCGAACAGTGTCAGAAGTACGCCCCTATGATACATCAAGCAGGGGAACTCCTTCATTTCGTCACTTCACCATGGCCATTTATAAAGTGAGGGATGGATATAGTCGGACACCTCCCAGCCGGACGAGGTAAAGTATGTTTCCTTTTGGTTTTAAGTGATTATTTTTCTAAATGGGTGGAAGCAGGTGCATACACACAGATACGCGAGCAAGAGGTCATCGCGTTCATATGGAAAAACATAATATGCCATTTCGGTATCCCCAAATAAATCAGCTGCGACAACGAACCTCAGTTTGTCGAAAAGAAAACGACCGAGTTTTTCGAGAAATGGCACATCAAACGAATACTCTCCACACTGTATCATCCCGCCGGTAATGGTCTAGCCAAATCCTCCAATAAAGTAATACTGAATATATCGAAAAAGAAGCTTGAGGACGCCAAGGTGCTATGGCCTGAACTACTACCGGAAGTATTATGGGCATACCGCACCACACCAAAAACCAGTACGGGTGAGACGCCATATTCACTAGTCTACCGAACTGACGCAGTTATACCGGTCGAGGTCGGAGAGCCTAGTTTGAGATACTCCAACGAGAGCGGACCAAGCAACGATGAAAGCAGGCTACAAGATCTGGATGAAGTCGAAGAACGGAGAGACATGGCCCACATAAGAATGGTAGCCTAGAAGCAACAAGTGGAAAGGTACTACAACAAGAAGGCCAAAGTGCGACCGCTCAAAGTCGGAGATTACGTCCTCAAGGCCAAAACACAAGTAGCGAAAGACCCTAATGAGGGAAAATTGGGAACGAACTGGGACGGACCATACAAAATCACAGCCGCACCAAACAAAGGAGCATTCTAGTTAGAAACACTGGAGGGAAAACTACTCCAAAACAACTGGAATGTCACCCATCTCAAATACTTCCAGTTCTGAAAGAAGACGCCACCTAAGTCGTACTCTTTTTCCCTCATCCGGGTTTTGTCCCAATCGGGTTTTTCCAGTGAGGTTTTTAATGAGGCGGCAAGGGAGACGTCTCAAGGTTCAAAATATTGTTCATTACCTCGCCCGTCGATATGATCTCCGGAGCGATGTAATGAAGGGACTGTATATAGATAATCAAATCTCCATTGTATGTACAAAGTCGACATGTGATTCTTACAAGAATATAATCAAATCTCTATTGTATGTACAAAGTCTACATGTGATTCTTACAAGAATATAATCAAATCTCCATTGCATGAATAAAGTCGACATGTGTCTTCCTGCGAAAATACGATCAAACCTCCAACGAGAAATGGCCAAGGCTATCGACAAAATATGAGTTCGACCTCGTTCGAGCTACGACGGGATACTACTTCGACGACAATTCGAAGCAACATCCCAATGGCCAAGGCCATCGACAAAATATGAGTTCAACCTCGTTCGAGCTACGACGGGATACTACTTCGACGAAAGTTCGAAGCAACATCCCAATGGCCAAGGCCATCGACAAAATATGAGTTTGACCTCGTTCGAACTACGATGGGATACTACTTCGACGACAGTTCGAAGCAACATCCCAATGGCCAAGGCCATCGACAAAAATAAGAGTTAGACCTCGTTCGAACCACGATGGGATCCTACTCCGACGAAAGTACGAAGCAACATCCCAATGGTCAAGGCTATCAAAAAACAAGGGGGGAATCAACCACACCCAAAAGTTAATATCGACTAAACAGCTCGACAGGTATCCCGGATGCCATAGAAATTACAAAGAGCACCAACCCATCGACAAAATAAAGTCTACATTGCATCAAAATATTATTTACACTGATCCTTACAAAACGGGCTCAAGCATGCCCCCTCCCACAAAATCCCCAAAGCAAAAGAAAAACACAAACAAAAGATTATACATCATCCCCGGTAGGATAAGCATCTTCGTACCAAGAGTCCGAAGCAAAATGGTTTGCCTCATCCGAGTTGATATCATCTCCATCAGGAGTATGAGGGTCATACCCGTATGCCTCACGGGCTGCACGAGTTTCGTTATGCACGGTTTGAAGCTCTGCCTCGGTTGCCCTCCCCTCGGCATGGAAAGCCTTGTACACGTCAAGTTGGGCCTCAACAAGAACCCACAACTCATATAAGCGATGAGGCGCGACTGGATCGGCTGAAGCATGGGACGTGGAAGGTTGAGAACGTCGAGTTGCATCCTCCGCTCTCAGCGAGGCCATTTGACCATTCAATACAGATAGCTCCGCCTCCAACTCTTTAACACGCCCTTCAAGCGCCGCAACCTTAAGATTAGAGACATCCCTCTCTCCAGTCAGCTCCGACCTACAAATACGGAGGGCATCCTCCAAAGACACCATTTCAGAAATAGCTGTCGCCAGCTTATCAGCACAAACGTCCAGCTCGCCCTTAAGCCCCTCAATTTCCACCGCCTTCGCACTCAATTCAGTGGTCAAATCTGCCACCCTCACTTGTAAATCGGCATTCTGTGCCATCACCCCCTGCTCAACTCAAGCTCGTCTTCCTTCGCCTTAAGGGAGGCCTCAAGTTCACAATAACGGGCGACAGCCTTCATGAGCTCCTCATACCGCTCCTTCACCTCCTCGACCTTGCGCTCCAGTTGGTCCTCCCTCTGTTTGATCCCTTCGCGAAACAATTGAAATTCAGGGTCCTAAATGTAAATATCGGCCATCGCACGATGCTTAGCACGATACCGTTGATACTTGGACGACATCTTCCCATATACGGCCGTCTTCCTCCTCTCCCGACGCTCGTGCTCAGTCTCCATGATAAGGGTCTAGCACAAAAGAAAAAGAGAAGTTAAAAACAAAATACAGGTCGACAATCACCGCACAAGCCCAACGACGAAAAGAAAAAAAAGGAACCTACCCGCAAAGCCATACCGGCGACGTTCTGAGACAACTCCACGTCACTCATTGCCCTGAGCACCTCATTTTCAGGGGCAGCACATAGAGGAGCTAAAACGGACGCCACTTACTCACAGTTCGACAATAAATTATAGTCCCCTGGGATGACTATGTGAAGATCAGACCCCTCCGCTCTGACCTCCACGTGAGTATGGCGACCTACGAACTCGTTGACTTCCTCCGGGTCGACATCTAAACCTGAGCCTTCGCCCTCGACGCGACGGCCTCCAACGTTGGATGATGCGCCACCCTCGGCAGAGCGTACAGAGCTGGATCTTAGCTAAATCCCCTCTATTTGAGATCTCCCCGATAATATGGCATTGGCCATGAATGTGGGCACAGGTGCCGTCTGCGACGCCCTACTTCTATCAGCGTCGACAGCCACACCCTTCCCGAGCTCCATTCTCCTCTTTTTTCTCGATAACAGCTCGTCCCCATTGGAGGATTCGTCCAAAAGGTGGGGGCCATCATCGAAGAAGCCTCCTCCCTCATGACCCAAGAGGGGACTTCTAATTGAACAGGTTGAAGATGACCCTCTCGAACAGATTCACTCAAAACAAATTGCGTGTCCGCGGAGGCAACAGTCTGTCGAAATGCGAGAACTGGCGCCCTCCACTTGGAAGCTCCTCGACCTGCCATCACGAAGAAGTCGGATTATTGGATGATGATATATAACCAACGAAGTGGTAAAGGGAAAACACTCACCAGTTGGAACTTTAGGGCCATAACGCTTTACGAAGGAAGGCCAGTCTCGGGTTTCCGCTGCATGGGGTAACATACGAGCTACCCAATCCCTTATGCCCGCAATAGGGTGGGGAGGACGTCCCATAGCTGCAAATGAGAAGCAAACCAACTTTATAATGAATACATACGAAGGAAGAATAAAATAAGTGGCGACACTTACGAGTCTCGTCCCATCACTCCGAGAACCTGGCGGAGTCAGAAATGATATGTTCGGTTTTGACAAAGAAGTACTTGTGCCAAAACTTGTGACTTGCTCGATAGTCTGTCCCGACCACCAACTCTTTCATGCCACGGTGCCTCAAATGCACCATGGTACCTCTGTGGAAGCTAGGTGAGAACAGGTGCAAAAGGTGGTGGACAGAAACATTACATTCCTCCAACTCCACATACTTGGTCAACAGTAGAAGCACCTTAAGAGTATACAGCGAAAGTTGTGCCGGGCAAACTTGGTAGAACCTACAGAACTCTTCTGCTAAGGGGAATAGAGGAAATGTGTAGCCAATCACGAACGGGTACTTGTAAAAAGCGCAGTACCCAGGCCTGTGGACATCTACAAAATCTCCCCCCGCCGGAATCATGTCAACGTGAGCGGGAATGCTATATTTTATACAAAGAACGTCAAGTGAACCTGCTCCGTCTCAGAAAGTACGGGGGCCGGAGTAGGAGGGGGATCTTTGAGCAAGCCACTCCGAGACATGGGATGTCTCGGTAATAACTCCTCCACCGTAGAGAGACTGTCACCCTCTTCTACCACCGTATCTTCACCGCCTGAAGGAGGCACCGTGGACACTAGGATAGCCTCAGGAACCCCTTCACGAGAACGATGTGACCTTGGCATGATCTCGTTCAAAGAGATATCAAGGCAAAAAAGAAGGAGGGGGAAGAAGCTGCGAATGAAGAATGTGAGAAGAAGAAGCAGAAGTGTATCAAGGCAAGCTCAGAGGAATAAGGGGAGGTTATCAGGAGTGAAATGGCCAAGAACTTTCGAAAACGTAAACCCTCCACCTATTTATAGGGTTGGGTGGTGCTAGAATCAAAGCGGAGGGTCACAGAGTAGCGCTGGAATCGAAGCATCAAGCCATCAACTCCTGCCTCAAAAACACGCATAATGATGACGCACATGAAGATGACATCACTTCCCAGTAAAATGTATTACCCGGTGTCTTGCTTAGCACGCTGCCCGTCCCCCATTGTCCATGTCGTAAAGCCTCGAAGGATCAAATTTCTCCATAGGAACGCATGATGTCCGCTCATCGAGGACGCACCTAGTTGCAACCCCAACAAGCGGAGGGACTAACTGTATGGGTCCAAATTTGACCAATCACGATCAATGACGAGTACGACGAATGACGGGGTCTCCTTGACTCGATGTCCTATGGGAGACGACCTTAAGTCAAACAAGAGACTATACGACCCTTGTAATAGTGTAGGCCCATTAGGAGACATTAGGAATATTCCTTGTAATTTGTGTTTTACAGCTTAGAAGGGTTTCACTCTTTGTATATATAGAGGATAATAACCTTGTAAAAGGGGATCCCGATAATTGGCTGTAATACTATTTACGAATGAGAAGATTTTTAAAAGGGATTTTATTAAATTAGATCGGTAAAGAAGTCTTCACATTATCTTTCTTTCCTTCTAGAGATTATTATACTTAGCTAATATTTACCCATTCATCTTTGATTGATTTGTTCCAAAGGGTTTCAATATCTTTTGAGTCAAACAGAGGTAGGCTCGAAGCTACACACTGGTAAGGATAGTCGAAACCTGTTAATAAACAATAAATCATGCCACCATATATAATTGTTAACCATTATACTATTTATACAATATTATACATTATTATACAAAGGAATCCTATCAATGGAGCTTCACGTGTTCTTCTTCTTCCTTGGGCATCCTCTGAAATTTAACTCAAATATAGATCTAAATCTACTCCAAATCACTTGAAATTTAAGTTTTGAACTTATCTTGATGATTCCAATCAATTGAGACAACACCCATTCCAAACAACTAACAAAT